CCCCCGCCACCCCATGGGGACCCCCGGGGACACAGAGCCATCCTCGTTCCCATGGGACCCCCGGGTACACCGACCTATCCCCGCCACATGGGGACCCCCGGGGACACCGAGCCACCCCCGCCACCCCATGGGGACCCCCGGGGACACCGAGCCATCCCCACTCACCGCGGGCTGGTGTGGAGGGCGTGCCTGCCAAAGCGCCCCAAATAACAGGGGGCACCCCAAATCCTCAGGAAGAGCCCTTAATCCTCGGATGGGCTCCTCAGCCCTCCCAGGAAATCCTTGAGCAGCACCCTAAATTTTCAAGGTGACAAATCTTCAGGCCCCAAAGATCTTCAAGATCCATAAATCCTAGCAGGGCAGCCCTGTGCTCTGAAGAGGGGCTGCAGCCTTTCCTCACCCCATCTATCACCCAAAATTTGTCCTGGCACTGGATTGGGGTGATCCCCTCCACACACCCACATTCCCAGGGGACACAAGACAGGGTGGTGTGACTGCAGTGGCTCCAGGGGGAATTTTGGGGTCTGGACCTAATGCCTGCCTTTGTCATCCTGCTGATGCATTTTGGGGCCCATCTCAAAGCACTTTCCCTGCCAGGGGATTCAGGACAGACTGAACCCCAGGACAGGGTGGGTCAGGATGGACCAAGCCCCAGGACAGGGGAACTGAAGCCCAGAGAGGTTTAAGGGATGGGGTTGGGGGTCACACTGCCTCTGAGACCCTGCACAGCCCCCCCAGCCTCCCCATGGCGTGTCCATGGGTGGATAAGGATGAGTCACCATTTAAAAAAAAAGGGGAAAAAAAAAGATTTGCAGGAAGAACAAATCCTTTTTACTTCTGTGAAGCACCTGTAGGATTAAGACAATGATGGTTATGTAAGAAGTGGAGAAGGATGGGTTTTATAATTTTTGTTGTTATTATTATTATTTATTTATTATGCTTCTTCACCATCCCATTACCCTGACAAATATATTCTGGGGAGAGGCTGGTTTGGGGGAGAAGGAGATTTGTTGTAGGGCTGATGCAGAGTGATGCACCATTTGCTTTTTCTTCCCCCAAAGCAGCATCTTCCTAAACATTTCTCTTTTTTTGGTGCATTTTTGGCAGCAGCATGAAACATGGGCCAAGGTGGACAGTGCAAAAGCAGTGCTGAGGAGGCACAGCTGGGACAGGAACTCTGGATTTTCTCCATTATGGCTGGGTTTGTGATGATTTTGGGTGGATTCTCTCCCTCCTGCTTCTGGCTGGTCACATTTTCAAGGCCGGGTTGGGCAGGGCTTGGAGCAACCTGGTCTGGCAGAAGGTGTCCCTGCCCATGGCAGGGGGTGGAATGAGATGAGCTTTCAGGTTCCTTCCAACCCAAACCATTAAATGTTTCTGGCATTCTCTGATTCCCTTGGCAGGGGTGTTCTGGGGGTGAATGGATGCTCTCAGAGAGGCTGGATCCCACTGCTCAGTGCAGGTGACCCTGGACCACCCACCTTCACCCGCCTCCCACAGCAGCTGACAATGTGTTTCCACTCCCCCCCCCCTTCCCCTGCCTCTCCTCCAAAAAGCCTCTCTCCCATTCATATCCATTTTTAAAGAAAACACACAATCAATAGTCTCTCAGGCTGGAATTTCATTAAGGTTTTCATTGCACTCGCTATCGATTGCCAGCAGGGCTGGGAGCTGCACGGAGCTGATGCCGTGCCCTGCCTGTGCCACGGGACCACCCAGACCATCCTAAAGGGAAAGAGCCATGCAGAGGATGTGGCTGATCCCATGCAGGCAGCAGAATTCCCAGCATCCCAGCTTTTACTCACTCCTAGATTTTACCAGCCATCACCAAGAGCAAAACCAGGAGCCCAGGGAAGGGCTGGGATTTCTTTCATGAGCCAGGACAAATGCTTTGTGATTGCAAAGGCTTTGGTACATAACAGGTTGTCTCCTGCCTTCCCTCCATGGGATGCTGCTTGTGTCAGGATGTATAAAACCAGGCAGAAATGCCTGGCCTTGCTTCCATCAAACACGGGAGCTGCAAGTAAAAAAAAAAAACCCAGGGCTCTGAGTGTGGAAGGGGATGGTTTGCTCCGCTGCTGGTTGGTCACTTGGAAAATCAAGTGAAAAATCCCAACCTCTAACAGGGCTTGTGGGCTAAATTTAGGTCTGGGCCTTGACCAGAGAGATTTACAATAATTGCCAGGGTGAAAGTTTAACTTCTCCCGCGACTTTTCTCAGCAATCCCCAAGGAACCGCGTTCTGCTGTGCAAAGAGCAGCCCCGGGCCAGCTCCCCAAATTGCTTTTTTTAAGGCTTTATTTTTAAACCAAAGCCACAGGCTGCCTTCAACGGGACAAAAATCCTTCACGAGTCCCAGTCTGCATCTGGTGGGAGCTCCTGTGGATGGGGATGAGCTTTGGTTCAAATCCTTGTCCCCATTTTTTGGCCCTGCTCATCCTCTGCCAAGCAGAGCCCCCCTGGACACCCCTGTTCCCACTCACCACTAAACCCTTTTAACAGGACCCACGACAGGAGCAAAGCAGCACACACTGCTTATAGAACCACGGCCTTTCTGCTATGCTAAATGATGTAAAACTGGTGGTGAACAAACCTAATATCTGCCGGCTCCTGCCAATTCTCATTACTCCGGGACTCCCTTGGAGCGATTAGCCGCCTTAAAAAAAAAAAAAAAAAAAAAAAAAATCGCTGGAAGGAATCAAGAGAGTGGCTCAGCCAGCGCTGGGGAGGGCTTGCTGGCAGCATCCCGGCTGGAGAGTGCCGTGCCCTTGAAATGCTGTGCCCAGAGGCATCCGGCACCCGAGCGGTGCCAGCTCCGGCAGCGCGCCCTCCGCCGCCCGCGCTCCGGGCACAGCCGGGCGGCTCCAATTCCATCCATCCCTGCCCGGGGACCGCCGTGCTGAGGCTGATTTTCTAGCAAAACCCTCGTGCTGTGAGGCCACAAAACCGTGGTGGAGAGGGGAGGTGAAGGGGTTTGTGGAGCATCCCGGGATGAAGCTGGAAAGGAAGTTGTGAGCCCGCTGTGGCCGGGCAGCCCCAGCCGTGAACGCGTTCGGCGGTGCAGGCACGGCAGAGCCGGGTGCGTGTGTGAGCTGTCAGCCAGGCAGACAGGCCCCAGGCATCTCCCGGGCTGTCACAGCTGCAGACTGTCCAGGAGCAGTCCCTAATGGGATGTAAAGGGAGAATTTATTGGAGGAAGATGTCACAGGGATGAAAGGGGAAAAAGAGAGGAAACCTGGAGAAATAGCAGTTTGGGTTTGTATTTATTTATGGAGGAGAAATTGTTTTAAAATGTCCTTTGGTGTGCTGGAGAAGGCAAACAGGCAGTGACAGCCCAGCCACGGGGCTGGAGGAGCCTTCACTGATGGGAAGACCTTGATGTGCAAATTCCCTTCTCCTCCTCACCCTGCAAGTCAGGATTTACCTTCGAGAGGGAGCAAAGCCCTTTCCTTTCAACACAAAACCTGTGCTTAATATTTCCTCTGTGACCTGAGCTTTTTCTTCCCCAGAGTGTTTGTGCAGCCCTGGTTGAGTGAAGCTCTCCCAGGATGACCTCAGAGATGGACAAGCCCAACCACAGACCAGAACAAAGCCAGACCAGCTGAAATTCCCTGAGGGAGGATGTACAAACAGAAAGGGATATGAAAACAGGACCAAAACCCATCCTTATTTTTCTGTGGGATAACCAATGGAGTTTGGATGGAGATGGAGAGCACCAGCTGAGTGCAGGAGCCGTGCTGGGGAGTGGTCAGCCAGCTCTCAGCATCCACAGTTCACCCCACATCCTTTTTGTGTGCACACTGCCTGTCCCTCACCACATGACGGCTCTTCTGTGCTTCAAACATCTGTTCAGGGTTGTGCTCAGCAGCCTCTCAGTGTCTGACTCAGATGGGAGGGAGCAATATTTGGGATTGATGAGTGGGGAGGGAATGCAATCTCACTGCCAGGTGGAAAAAGGGTTCAGGGCTTGATCCTTCTGCATCTCTAATAGTGCTGGGAGAAGAATT